ACTGAACAGCTCCCACTGGACAAACCTGGAGTAATTTGAGCATAAATTTAAATAATGATAACAGTATATTATAATATTAAATAAAATAGGGAACTATGAATCCAAACTGATGTAAATAAAAGCATGAATTGAAGTTTTGATGAGGACAGGATATTTTTATATCTCCAAGTATCTTTCCAACAAAACAGTAATGAATTACAAAGGGACAAAAGTAATTTTACTATGAAGAATCTTGGCAGACACCACCTTAACGAAGTGATCAAAATAAACATCAGTAATAGGGCAAATTGAAAGTATGTGCTATCAGATAGGTTCCAATAAGAACACAGTATCACTTCTACAACATCCCTCTAGAGATGCATAACATAAATATAATCAGGAGGAAACATCAGACAAACTCTAAATGAGAAACAGTCTAGAAAGTAATTGGTCTGTAATTTTTAAAGCTATCAAATTCATAAAGGTCAAGGAGAAACTGTGTAATTGTTCCAGACTAAAGGAAATCTTTAGGCTCTTTTCAACATGATAGTTAAATGCAATGTGTGATTCTAAACTGAAGCCTTTTGTTATAAAAGACCCTCTAGGGGGACACGTGGGTGGCTTAGTTGGTTGAGCCTCTGACTCCTGGTTTTGGCTCAGGTCATGATCTCAGGATCCTGGGATCAAGCCCTGAGTCAGTTTCCATGCTCACTGGGAGTCTGCTTGTCTCCCTCTCTCTCTGCCCCTCTCCATGCTCGTGTTCTCTAAAATAGAATGAATAAACCTTAAAAAAAAAAAAAAAAAAAAAGACCCTCAAGGGCCAACTGGCAAAATCTGAGTGATGTATGAAGATTAGATGACAGTAATATACAGTGATAATATCCTGATTGGGATAGTTGAATTATGGTTATATAGTAGAATATCCTTGTTTGTGTAGGGGTGATAGGGCATAATGCTGGCAAAATACTCTTCTAGTTCGAGGTTTAAGGTTTAAACACACTCTTGTTTGTATAAATTTAGATTGTTTCAAATTTAAAAAAATTTATTGAGATATGTGGACAAGCGGGAAATTGTGATCCATAAACAATAAAGAAGAAAGAGCCAAAAGCAGCAGCCTCAAAGATGATTCAGCTATTTAAATTAAGAAAAAAGAACTTTAAAAAGATTACTGCAAATACATGAAAGAAAATAGAACAAAAGATGAAAAATTTCAACATAAAAAGGGACTAGGTAAAGTTAATCAAATGGTCATTCTGGAACTGAAAAATCACAATGTTTGTAATTAAGAACTTAATGCAATTAAGAACTTAACAGAAGAAGATAAAATTATCAAAGGCAAAGATGGGTCAACAAAAATTATCCAAACTGGAGCACTTAGAGAATATAAATATATAAATAATATTTAAAAAAAAATAAAAGAGAATATATGATTTTTAGAATACATGCCAAATGGTCTAAAATATGAGAAACTGTACTTCCAGATAAGAGAATGGAGGAGAAGCAATATCTGAAGACATCACAATGAAAAATTTTGCAAAATCAAGAAAAGGTATGTCAAAAGGTTCAGTGGACCCCAAGCAGAGTTAAACAACAACACCCACTTAGTCACTCCTGGAAAATGATAAATATTGGGAAAATCTTAAATGCTGTCAGACCAAAAGACATCATCCTCAGGGTAAGAACAGTAAGACTTACAGCTAACTTCTAAGAAGAAAATATGAGATCTAGAAGAAGACGGAATGACAGCTCTAAAGGGCAGAAAGAATAAAGTGGCCAACATAGAATTCTCTATCAAGCAAAATTATCTTTTTAAACAATAAATGAAATAGACATACTCAGGGAACTAAAGCTGAGGTTACCCATCATTAGAAGTCAATATTATAAGAAATATTGAAGTAAGTACTTCAGACAAAAGAAAAATGATACCAGATGAAATCAGGAAACTGCAAGAAGGAATAAAAAAGCATCATTTATGTGCATAAAGATAAAAGACTATTGACTGTTCAATGCCAAAACAGTATCCTATGAGGTCTGTAGCAAATACAGAAGTAAAAATGTATCACAGTTATAGTAACATAAGCAGAAAGAAAAATAAACAGAATTGTACCATTTTAAGATTTTTACATAGTTCAGGAGAAGACAAAAGCATTAATTTAAGGCAGACTGTAATAAGGTACTATTTTGTAACTCCTATCACAACCACTAAAAGAATAATCATAAAAGGAATAGCAAATACCCATTAAAGAAGGCAAAATGAAATAATAAAAAAATACTTGATAAATACAGAAAAAATTGGGAAAGGAAAAGCAGAAAAACAAAAAGCAGGTGAAACAGAAAACAAACAGAAAGATGGCAAAATTAAATGGAATAATACAACTAATTACATTAAATGTAAATAAATTAAACTTTGTCATTAAAAGATAAAGATCCAAATAAAAACCAAGACCTAACTACATGCTATTTACAAGAAACACACTTTAAATATAAAGACATAGTGCTAATAGACTGAATTATGTTCCCCTCAAATTTGTTAAGTTGAAGCCCTTCCCCCCAGTGTGACTGTACTTGGAGGCAAGGCCTTTAAGGTGGTAATTAAGGTTAAATGAGGTCATTGGAGTAGGGCCTTGATCCAACAGGGCTGTTGTCCTATTAGAAGCAGAGGAGACACCAGACACCTCTCTGTGAGCACACAGAAGAAAGGCCATGTGAGGACAAGTGAGAAGGCAGCTGTCTGCAAGCCACTACAAGAGGTCCCACCAGAAATCGACCCTGTCAGCCCTCTGCTCTTAGACTTGAAGCCTCCAGAGCCGTGAGAAAATGTCTGCTGTTTATCCATCTGTGGTATTTTGTCATGGCAGCCCAAGCAAACTAATACAGAAATAGAGTAAAATTTAAAGGATAGAAAAAAATATATAAGGCAAACACTATCCAAAGAAAAACTGATGTGGGGCACCTGGGTGGCTCAGTCGTTAAGTGTCTGCCTTTGGCTTGGGTCATGATCCCAGGGTCCTGGGATCTAGCCCCACATCGGGCTCCCTACTCAGCAGGAAGCCTGCTTCTCCCTCTCCCACTCCCCTTGCTTGTGTTCCCTCTCTCACTGTCCCTCTCTGTCAAATAAATAAATAAAATCTTAAAAAAAAAAAAGAAAAAGAAAAATTAATGTAACTATATCACTGAACAAAGTACATTTTAAGACACTAAAAATTAATAGATTTTAAAATAGCCATTTCTCAGTGATAAAAGGGTCAATTCAACAAGATCTTAGATTTGTATCTAATAACATAGTTTGAAGGTATATAAAAAGGAACATAACTAAAAGAAAAAATAAATAAATCATAATTGGAGATTTTAAGACAATTCTCTCAGTAACTGAGACCCCTATCTTATACCACACACAAAAATCAATTCAAAATAGAGTAATGACCTGAAACCACAAAACTACTAGAAGAAAACATGGGGGGTAAGCTCCTTAACATTGGTCTTGTCAATGTGTTCCACTATTATTTTTGTTATTGTAAGGACTGATATTTCCATGTTCTTTAATTTTGGAGCTGAAACTAGAAATGCTCCCCTGTCCCAATGTAATTGTCTTAAATATTTCTTATGGATCAGTAGGATATTTAACATCAGATGATGTAAAATTTTTGATTTGGTGGTCAAGTGTAATTTTTAAAAATCGAGTAAAGGACAGTATATTATTTTTACCCCTATTTTCATCCATTCTACTGTTGTTTCTCTTTCTTCTTTATGTCACAAGTTCCCTCCTGTTACCATTTCCTTTCTCTTTAACGAACTTCCATTTAGCCATTCTTTTAGAGTAGATCTGTGGGTGACAAATGCTCTGCATTTTTCTTCATTTGAGAATGTCTTTATTTCACCTTTATTCCTGAAAGATATTTTCACTGGCTATAGAATTAAGAGTTGACAGCTTTTCTTTCAGCACCTGAAAAATGTGGTGCCACATCCTTATGGCCTCCATGAAAAACCATCTGAATCATTGTTTCCCTATAGAAATAATGTATTCTTTCCTACTAGCTGCTTTCAATGTTTTCTCTTTAATTTTTGAAAGTCTGATTTTGACATATTCAGCATAGAATTTTTCAGATTTATCTGTTTTGGGTTTGTTCAGCTTCTTTAATCTATAATGCCGTTCATCAAATTGGGATGTTTTCCGCATTATTTCTTTGAATATTTTTCAGCTTCACAGTTTTTCTCCTCCTTCTGGGACTCAGATGACAAAAAACTAAATCTGTAATTGTCACACAGGTCCTGCAAGCTCTGTTGATTTCTGTTCCATCTATCTTCTCTTAGTTTTCCAAAATAGATAATTTCTACTGATCTGACTTCAAGTTCACGGATTCTTTTCTCTGTCATCTCCATTATGGTATTGAGCCCACCCACTGAATTTTTATTTCAGTTATTGTGTCTTCAGTTCTATAATTTTCATTTAGTTCTTTTTTATATCTTCTATTCTTTTGCTTAGGAATAAATTTAGCAAAAGAAGTGTAAGACTTATAAATGGAAAACTACAAAACATCATTGAAAGACATTAAACAAGCCCTAAATAAATGAAAGGACATTTCATGGATGAGATGATTTAATATTTTAAAATGGCACCACTCCCCAATTTGATCTACAGATTCAATGCAATCCCTATAAAAATCTCAGCTGCCGGGGCGCCTGGGTGGCTCAGACAGCTAAGCGTCTGCCCTCGGCTCAGGTCATGATCCCAGGGTCCTGGGATCGAGCCCCGCATCGGGCTCCCTGCTCAGTGGGGAGTCTGCTTCTCCCCCTCCCTGAGCTTCTCCCCCTGCTTATTCTCTCTCTCTCTCTCTGTCTCTATCTCTGTGTCTTGAATGAATAAATTTAAAAAATCTTAAAAAAAAAAAAATCAGCTGGGGCGCCTGGGTGGCTCAGTTGGTTAAGCGACTGCCTTCGGCTCAGGTCATGATCCTGGAGTCCCTGGATCGAGTCCCGCATCGGGCTCCCTGCTCGGCAGGGAGTCTGCTTCTCCCTCTGACCCTCCCCACTCTCATGTGCTCTCTCTCATTCTCTCTCTCTCAAATAAATAAATAAAATCTTTAAAAAAAAACAGCAAAACAAAAACAAAAACAAAACTCAGCTGCCTTTTGTTTTGCAGAAATAAGTAAACTGATTCTAAAATTCACGTGGAAATCCAAGGGCCCAGAATAGCAAAAATAACCTTGAAAAAAAAAAAGAACAAAGTCAGAGAGTTCACACTTCTCAGTTTCAAAACATACTACACAAAGCCATAGTAATCAAGAACCAAGAAAATCAGAACTTGAATGAGCAAAGGCAATCAATATACACCAAACACCAAGGTGACTCACATGTTAGGATTATCTGACAAGGATTTTAAAGTAGTCATAAAATATTTCAATAAGGAGTTATGAGCATTCTTTTTTTTAATGCAAAAATACAGGTTTTATTTTTACTTATTCTTACAATGGTGGGAGCTGGTATCAGGAACTTATAGGCAAATATCAGGAACTTATAGGCAAACAACTTTTGTTTTCTACCTCTTAGCTGAACAAAAATATGCACAATGTCGCATTATCATTAGGCAAGACTTGCTTTTTTACATTTCACACAAGAATACAATATTATCCTTTTTTGAACAAAATGCCCAGATTACTAAGGAAACCATTTTGGAGGCAGTGTTTAATAAGCATATTTTATTTAAATGAATCCTCCAGGAGGAAATGGGAGCATTCACTGCCTTTACTTAGAAGAAGGCTATGTAAGCAGTTATCTGTCAAATTTATCTGTGCAGCTCACCAACATTTCCTCATAGGAAACATCAATATTTCCACATTGGGGGCACCTGGGTGGCTCAGTCGTTAAGCGTCTACCTTCGGCTCAGATCATGATCCCAGAGTCCTGGGATCGAGCCCCGCATCAGGCTCCCTGCTCCGCCGGAAGCCTGCTTCTCCCTCTCCCGCTCCCCCTGCTTGTGTTCTCTCTCTCGCTGTCTATCAAATAAATAAATAAAATCTTTAAAAAAAAACACACATTTCCACATCACAGTTCCCAAAATGACTTTAAAGTCTTAAAATTCTGTGTCTTCTTTGGCTTTCTTCTCTCGATTCCACCCAGGCTTTATTATATGGTTCGCTTCATGTCATCATCTCCATCTTCCTAAACTTTCTTTAGAACATTCATCAATCCCTCACTAGGATCTGTTTCAGTGTCACAGGAGGGTTTTTCTTTCTCTTTGCATTCTTTTTCAACCTGAGTCAGGTAGTCCCACCGTGTGTTTTCTGCTTTCTTTCTACATAAGATAAGAACTGTATCTGTCTTAACTTTTTTTGAACTGCCTTCCACAGAGATGGGTTTTATGAGATTGTTCACAATCATGGAGTAACTCTTCCCATTTAGATTCTTTACCAAAAGATCAAATGACCTCTCTGTGAAATGCACCTGCACATTCTCGGTGGGGACCTGATGAACTCCAGTTAAGGTAATGTAGATTTTCACAAATTTATCTGACTGATCCCATCCGTAATGACTGATTTTCACTGTGTATCCTGTTGTAATAGGAGCAACCACAGCACCTGGCTTTTCACTGTCAAGAAGTTCTGCTTTTCTCTTTGATTTCTGCTGCATCTTGTTCTTTTTTTTTTTTTTAAAGATTTTATTTATTTATTTGAGACAGAGAGAATGAGATAGAGAGAGCATGAGAGGGAGGAGGGTCAGAGGGAGAAGCAGACTCCCTGCCGAGCAGGGAGCCCGATGCGGGACTCGATCCAGGGACTCCAGGATCATGACCTGAGCCGAAGGCAGTTGCTTAACCAACTGAGCCACCCAGGCGCCCATGCTGCATCTTGTTCTTGATTTCTATCTCAATCTTGGATTTTTCAGCTGTAAGGGCATCATGTACTCTTTTTCTAGTGGCCTTCTCCAGCAGCACCTTCCCCTCTTCTAAATCTTTCTGTAGCTATTCCAAAGCTGAAGCCATGGTCGGGCTGATTGGGCAAGACCCGAGCTGCAGACACGCAGGGAAGAGAACAGGAAACACTGCACCAAACGCGCTTACCCAGATGCAGGCCCCAACTGCACGAGTCGCAGCGCCCCAAGCCTGCGCGCACACCCGACCTGGTGCGAGACCCGGCCTGCCTCCCACACGCAGTGCCTCTGGGAGGTATGAGCATTCTTGAAATAAGTGAGGAAAACAGAAAATCTCAGCAAAGGAATAAATTTAACAAAAGAAGTGTACTGGCATAAGGGTAGACATATGAATCAACGGAAAAGAACTGAGAAATCTAGAAATCAACCCTCACATTTATGGTCAAATGATTTCTGGTAAGGGTCTTACAACAATTCAGTGGGGGGAAAGGAATGGTCTTTTCAACCAATGACAGTGAAACAATATCCACATGTAAAAGAATAAAGTTGGACCTCTACCTCACATCATACACCTCTCAAAATTAATCAAAAACCTAAATGTAACACTCTTAGAAGAAAAAGGCTTAGGGCACCTGGGTGGTTCGGTTGCTAAGCGTCTGCCTTCGGCTCAGGTCATGATCCCAGGGTCCTGGGATCAAGCCCCGCATCAGGCTCCCTGCTCCATGGGAAGCCTGCTTCTCCCTCTCCCCCTCCCTCTGCTTGTGTTCCCTCTCTCGCTGTCTCTCTCTCTCAAATAAATAAAACCTTCAAAAAAAAAAAAAAAAGGCTTGGGGCGCCTGGGTGGCTCGGTCGTTAAGCGTCTGCATTCGGCTCAGGTCATGATGCCAGGGTCCTGGGATCGAGCCCCACATCGGGCTCCCTGCTCGGTGGGAAGCCTGTTTCTCCCTCTCCCACTCCCCCTGCTTGTGTTCCTTCTCTCACTGTGTCTTTCTCTGTCAAATAAATAAATAAAAATCTTAAAAAAAAAAAAAAGGCTTAATCACTATGATCTCTGATTAAACAACAGTTTCTAAGAAATGACATCGAAAACACAAACAAAATAAAAACTAGATATATTGGGCTTCATCAAAATTAAAACTTTTTGTGTTTCAAAGGATACTATTATGCCAGTAAAAAGACAATCCATTGAATGGAAGAACATATTTACAAGTCATACCTGATAAGGGGCTTGTATTCATAATACATAATAAATCTCACAACTCAATAATAAAGAGACAACCAAATTCTTAAAATGGGGACAGAGATGTTTTTTTTTTCTTTTTTCCCATATGGATTTTTAAAATTTAAATTCAATTAGTCAACATATACTACATCATTTGTTTCAGATGTAGTGTTCAATGATTAATCAGTTGCATATAACACCCACTGCTCATCACGTCATGTGCCCTCCTTAATGCCCATCACCCAGTTACCCCATCTCCCCACCCAACTTCCCCTTCTGCAACCCTCAGTTTGTTTCCCAGAGTCAAGAGTCTCTCATGGTTTGTCTCCCTCTGTGATTTCTTCCCAGTTTTCCCTCCCTTCCCTTCCCCTAGACATAGTTAATATTAATCTGCTCTAGCTGTTTGAGGTACAGAGACCACCTATGGAATTAGGTGAATCCACAAAACTAACCTAGTCCCTTTTCTTTGGGGGTCCTTCTGAATGATGGCTAGAGAATTTAGGGAGATTAAAAGAAAAGTGCCAAAAACAAAAAAAAGGTCTGATTCAGGCAGTTACTTCATTTATCCCACTACTAATACCATCACCTAAGCAAAGTCCCCAACCTACTCCCTTTTACCCACACCCTTCAGGCTTCTGTTATGACATATTTTCCCTTTGAGGTCACCATTATCGGTCCTTTCAAAGCTGATTTCACCCAGATTAATATCTCAGACAGAAGAGAGGATGGCAACAAGAACACAAATGATGATTTACCTTAAAAAGGCTGGCCCTGAGTCCATTATATCCCTCAACAGATTTTGCTTCTAAAAAACCTTATTATGCTTTCTACGGCCTTTCCCCCCTTCCCAATTAAAAAAAAGTGGGCACAGGGTGCCTGGGTGGCTTAGTTGGTTAAGCGACTGCCTTCGGCTCAGGTCATGATTCCAGGGTCCTGGGATCGAGTCCCACATCGGGCTCCCGGCTCAGCGGGAAGCCTGCTTCTCCCTCTCCCACTCCCCCTGCTTGTGTTCCTGCTCTCTCTGTCTCTGTCAAATAAATAAATAAATAAAAATCTTAAAAAAAAAAAAAAAGTGGGCACAGGATCTGAAAAGACATTTACCTTTCAAAGAACATACAAAAGTGGCCAATAAGCACAGGAAAAGATCCTCAACATCATTAACAATTAGGACAATGAAAATCAAAACCACAATGAAATACACTAAAATGGCTGTTGACAAAGATGTGAAAAACTGGAACTCTCACACATTGCTGGTGGGAATGTAAAATGGGGCAGCCTCTTTGAAAAACTGTAAGTAGTTCCTCAAAAGGTTCAAATGAGAGTTACCAAATGATCCAGCAATTCTACTCCTATGTATATCCCCAAGAGAAATGAAAATATATGTGTATATGCCCATGTAAAATGTTTATAGCCACTTTATTCATAATAGCCACTCTTCATTAAACTGAAGAGCAAAAAATCAAAAAACTAAATGTCCATCAACAGGAGAATAGATAAGTTGTGGTATAGGCATGCATACAATAAAAAAAATACAGCAATAAAGGAACAAATGATATATGTAACAAGATGGATATATGTTATATTAAGCATATGTTATATTGAGCATAATAAAACTGATCCAAAATAATATATATGTTACAAATATTTGAATTTCAAGAAGAGGTAGAATTAATTGATGGCAATAAAAGTCAGAATAGTAAAGGCTATTAATGAGGTGCAATAAAAAATGGAGGCTCTAACTGCTAGGATAAATGAGGCAGAAGAGAGAATTAGTGATACAGAAGACCAAATGATGGAAAATAAAGAAGCAGAGAAAAAGAGAGATAAACAACTACTGGATCACGAGGGCAGAATTTGAGAGATAAGTGATACCATAAGACGAAACAACATTAGAATAATTGGGGTCCCAGAAGAAGAAAGAGAAAGAGGGGCAGAAGGTATATTGGAGCAAATTATAGCAGAGAACTTCCCTAATTTGGGGAAGGAAACAGCCATCAAAATCCAGAAGGCACAGAGAACCCCACTCAAAATCAATAAAAATAGGTCAACACCCCGACATCTAATAGTAAAACTTACGAGTCTCAGAGACAAAGAGAAAATCCTGAAAGCAGCTCAGAAGAGATATGTAACCTACAATGGTAGAAACATTAGATTGGCAACAGACCTATCCACAGACACCTGGCAGGCCAGAAAGGACTGGCAGGATATATTCAGAGCACTAAATGAGAAAAATATGCAGCCAAGAATACTCTATCCAGCTACGCTATCATTGAAAATAGAAGGAGAGAGAAAAAGCTTCCAGGACAAACAAAAACTAAAGGAATTTGCAAACATGAAACCAGCCCTACAAGAAATATTGAAAGAGGTCCTCTAAGCAAAGAGAGAGCCTAAAAGCAACATAGACCAGAAAGGAACACAGACAATATACAGTAACAGTCACCTTACAGGCAATACAATGGCACTAAATTCATATCTTTCAATAGTTACCCTGAATGTAAATGGGCTACATGCCCCAATCAAAAGACACAGGCTATCAGATTGGATAAAAAAACAAGACCCATTGATATGCTGTCTGCAAGAGACTCATTTTAGAACAAAAGACACCTCCAGATTGAAAGTGAGGGTGTGGAAAACCATTTACCATGCTAATGGACACCAAAAGAAAGCTGGGGTGGCAATCCTTATATCAGACAAATTAGATTTTAAACCAAAGACTGTTTAATAAGAGATGAGGAAGGACACTATTTCCTACTTAAAGGGTCTATCCAACAAGAAGATCTAACAATTGTAAATATCTATGCCCCTAACATGGGAGCAGCCAATTAATAACAAAAGCAAAGAAACACATTGACAACAATACAATAATAGTGGGGGACTTTAACACCCCCCTCACTGAAATGGGACAGATCATCTATGCAAAAGATCAACAAGGAAATAAAGACGTTAAATGACACACTGGACTAAATGGACTTCACAGATATATTCAGAACATTCCATCCCAAAGCAACAGAATACACATTCTTCTCTAGTGCCCATGGAACATTCTCCGGAATAGATCACATCCTAGGTCACAAATCAGGTCTCAACCGGTACCAAAAGATTGGGATCATTCCCTGCCTATTTTCAGACCACAGTGCTTTGAAACTAGAACTCAAACACAAGAGGAGAGTCAGAAAGAACTCAAATACATGGAGGCTAAAGAGCATTCTACTAAAGAATGTGAATGGGTCAACCAGGAAATTAAAGAATTTTAAAAATTCATGAAAACAAATGAAAATGAAAACACAACTGTTCAGAATCTCTGGGATGTAGCAAAGGCAGTCCTAAGAGGAAAGTATATAGCAATACAAGCCTTTCTCAAGAAACAAGAAAGGTCTCAAGTACACAACCTAACCCTACACCTAAAGGAGCTGGAGAAAGAACAGCAAATAAAGCCTAAACCCAGCAGGAGAAGAGAAATGATAAAGACCAGAGCAGAAATCAATGAAATAGAAACCAAAAGAACAGTAGAACAGATCAACGAAACTAGGAGCTGGTTCTTTGAAAGAATTAATAAGATTGATAAACCCCTG